ATTCCCATTATGGAATCTCCCAGCAGATTCCATATTTCTTACACCTAAGGGGTGGATTCAGGGTCTACGGAGCCCCGCAAGGGACATGGGAGAAATTTGTTTTTACGAGATCTCGCAAAACTAACTCGGGATCTCGCAAAACTTTTGCGAGATCTCGCTAAAGTTGAATTCCAACAATGGCGGCAGCTACTTAGTTGTAATATTACTCTTTCTGGGTCACAAAATAAACTTTTAAGATATTTTGAGGCGTGAATGTAGTTGTGTAAACATCAAATATCTGCTCGGTTTACAAGACATCACATATTTGCAAAAGTGCTCCGACGTTTTCGGAGATCTGACACCCACCATCTCGAAGCTAACGGGAGGTTGAGACCTACTACAGGCGGGAGGAACACCACTCTCCCAGCACATCGTGCCTCGACCTCCCGGTCGGCTTCGAGCTGGCGGTCTCCGCAGAATGCGGCTAAAACTTTTGCGAGATCTCACAAAACTTTTGTGAGATCCCGAGTTTGTTTTGCAAAATCTCGCAAAACTTTTGCGAGATCCCGAGTTTGTTTTGCAAGATCACGCAAAAGTCCGTCTTAATTTTTTTTCTTCTCCCATGTCCCTTGCGGGGCTCCATAAGGGTCACCTGATCCAGCCCTAACTATATGCTTTAGCAAAAAGGAAAGTTTGAAGCCTCATCTTAAAAGTAGAGATAGTGTCTGTCTCCTGAATTCAACCTGGAAGCTGGTTTCATAAAAGAGGGGCCTGAAAACTGAAGGCTATGCCTCCCATTCTACTTTGAAACAACAAGTAAACCTGCAGTCTGAGACCAAGGAGCTCTAATGGGGTGATATGGTACTATAAGGTCATTAAGATAAGATGGGGCCTGAGTAGGAATTTGAATTCAAACCTAGATTTAACAGGGTGCCAATAAAGGGATTCTATACTGTCTTGAATATGATAATATGCTAATGGGACAAATAAGTATCCATGAATATTGTATTTTGATTGTTATACATCAGAAAATTGTGAAGCCTTTATTTTGACACCTGGATAGACAGGGAAGCTTTTATTTTGACATGTCTATAGACAGGAAGCAGGAAGTGCAGAGAACAGTGGAAATGGCTACCCCTTTGTAATCATTTGTGTTGAATCCAAAACAATCCTTCAGAGGAGTCCTTCAGAAAGCAATGGTTGTAAGT